ATATAAGGCTTTAGCCGGTCAATCACAAACACCCTGACTACTGAGCACGGAAACCTAACCAAAACATTATGCACGTCATCCGCTGGTGTCTACGAGGAAGCCTACAGACCTTCTTCACTCATCTCTTTAAGCTAGTTGATATATTTGATAAACAGTATATATTCACCCAGCTGTTCAAAGTGTAGGAGGGGTGAACCTTAAGTTGGGATGGCCAGAGAGGTGTAAAATCAATATGGCTCTCTCTCTCTCTCTCTCTCTCTCACCACTGCATACAGAGGAGGGGGTGTGTAAGAATAGAACGCACACACACACACACCTTACAATATAACATGTTCTCTCCCTTCACACGCAAACACCTCTGCCAACCTCTTACACAAACACCTCTGCCAACCTCTTACACAAACACCTCTGCCAACCTCTTACACAAACACCTCTGTCAACCCCCTACACAAACACCTCTGCCAACCGCACCCCCCCATACACCCCTACATCTCCTTTCACCCACCACACACTCGCTCCTCGTCAAAATGCTCACCTCTCCACACACCTTGACCTACAAACTCAAGCCCCTCCAGGTGTCCTTGGCCACCACCGAGCCCCTCACTCTTTATGTGTCCTACAGCCCGGGTATCATGGCTAAATACCTGGGATCACCTGGAGACTAGACACCCTAGCTAACCTAACCTAACATGAGCTTATTTCACCTGAAGATCAGACACCCTAGCTTATTCTACCTTGAGAGAGAGAGAGACAGAAGGGGGAGGGGGAATCCTCACAACTCCGGGAATAAAGTGAATCCCATCTAATGTAAGAAAGTCGGGTTAGGTTATCCTACATCCTCCTACAGGGACGAAAGAAGACCCTCCTGTCAGGGATGATCGGGGGGAGGGAGGGGTAGAGGAAGACCACCCACACAGCGGCGTGACACTGCCCAAAGGTCATTCACCCAACATGGCAACAAAGATCAAATTAACACTAAAGCCATCGATACAGCAGCTTCACTCTAGAGGTACAGTAGGTATGAGTACAGTGCATTACAGCAACAAAATGAAGTCTTAACACAGATACAGACGAATCATACCTGCTGTAATACGCTTATTAACCAAGTATATACCGGTATACCTGTAATCACCTCAAGTGTAAGTTACAGACGATACAAATTTTTACTGTCTAGTGTTAGGTTAAGTTAGGTTAGGTTAAGTTAGTTTGACTGTTTAGTGTTAGGTTAGGTTGACTGTTTGGTGATAGTCTATATTACACGTAGGTTCAGGCGACTTCACATGTTCGACTTGTAGATGAAAACGTCCTTATTATTGTAGTTACTTTTAATTAAAACAATTACTTACTACTACAACGAGTGATGCATCTCTCCTGTATTAATATGTCCAGAGCGAGTGTTTGTGTTTATATTACCAAGCCTCATCCCTAAAGCTAACTGCGGTCATAACTCGGTATTCTACTCCACCGTCTCCCCCAAACCTCAACAAACTTAGGACAACACCAGTCTCCTCGCTCGCTCGCCACTACGTCAGCCGCAGGACCATACCGCTCGGTGAACTGTGGCCTCACGCCTAATTGGGATACAAGTTATACTAGCAATTACCAGGAGGTCACGGCAGGGTAAATCAATACAGCAGCTCCCATCTGATCACTCACCTCTACTCTAACCTCTCACCAAGCCGTCGTCACCAGCCTCACTAAGTCACCTTTACATCTGTAGGCACCAGTCACTACCACCTCTTTCACCCCGAGAAAATCTTCCTAAACTAAACTAACCTAACCTAACCTCTCACCAAGCCGTCGTCACCAGCCTCACTAAGTCACCTTTACGTCTGTAGGCACCAGTCACTACCACCTCTTTCACCCCGAGAAAATCTTCCTAAACTAAACTAACCTAACCTAACCTCTCACCAAGCCGTCGTCACCAGCCTCACTAAGTCACCTTTACGTCTGTAGGCACCAGTCACTACCACCTCTTTCACCCCGAGAAAATCTTCCTAAACTAACCTAACCTAACCCACCACGTTCAACATACTGTCCACCACCGCCTACCTGTACCTGCTGTGTGTCTTAACAGAACACATAATACCATAGACATTATTGTGATTGAACTCACTTTACCACAATAGAGAAGTTAGAGGCTTTAAATGGAGTACAGTCCATTCATTCAGAGAAGAACAATAACATCACATCAACTCGTCAGGTCATACAGGGGAGTGATGGCCTTGGGGGAGGATAACACCAGGTATCACCAACACGGAAGACGTAATGGCCGCAAACTGGAATCGACACCTGGGTAAGCAATGTGTGTGTGTGTGTGTGTGTGTGTGTGTGTGTGTGTGTGTGTGTGTGTGTGTGTGTGTGTGTGTGTGTGTGTGTGTGTGTGTGTGTGTGCAGCTCCTGCCACCCTTACTGGCTGTCGATATTGAAAGCCTCTATTTTAGCCGATAACACTTAACCTGTGTCCTCCTTATCTATGTTCAAGTAAGAGCTCTCCCTCAGGTCACCAGCTCTCATACGACTTCCCCACATCTTTCTGACGCTAATTTTTATTAGAAGCACCTTTTAAAAACCCTCCTACACCCCTCCCCCGAACACTAATTTCATCAAACCACTACCTCCTCAGTTATTCACGCTCTCCCATGAGATACCAATATTAAGTAACAAGTTACCAATGTCGAGTAACTGGGTACCAAGGTATAAAACTATAGATAAAATGAAGATTTCTAATATATGTCATCATCTGATCAGTGCAACACAATGCCCCCCCCCCCTGCAGGCGGTGGTGGAGGGAGGGGGGGGAGGGGACACAACTGGCACAGGGCCAACGTGACGTCACCGCCTAACCTACTGTAGTGTCGTCACAGAACCATCTCAGACACCTGCTAATGCATCAAGGTTTACAGTCTCAAAAGCTCTCGCGATAAATATTCCTCGTAAGTGAAATTATATGTTTAACTTACGCTAATTCACACAAAAAGTCCAAATATTACATCAAGACTACACAAAGAGTCTACCTGAACGTAATGCGGTCAATTAGCACCAACTGGAAGATAAAATTAACGTACAAAGTATTAGGAAAATATTCTTTACATTTGTTCTGATGCTGAGTGATGGCGCTGTATCTAGTTAAGGTGGACTCAGGTTAATCCTCATAGCAAATATTTTTGGGGGGCGTTAGGTTTGTGCTTTAATTAACGCCAAACAGCCAGTGACAAGTAATACTCACGGTACAGTCTAATAACCAAACTTTCCACCTTCTATTTACTATTTTTCTAGTCTTCAACTCCTCATAAATATTTCAAAATTAACCCATCATCGTCAAATTATTTCCTTTCATCAACTGACGACCGATATATGTGATGACCAGACTCCACGAACGCCATGTTAAATACACCATTGTAAAATCATAAACACCTCAGGAGCCCCCACGGCCAAAATACCATTGCACAATAATATATACGACATAATATTCCATCACCCACGCCACCCCGGGCTAAGTTACGCAGTATCCTCACCCCTTACTCTTATATGTGACGATTCCGTGTTGACTCTAGGCCAAGAGAGCAGTGCCCACCACACAGGACACCGCCAACATTACTGCCTCACCACGTGTCCCATAAAACCCCCAACTTTTTCGCCCTTTCGGCTGACGTGTACACTGGAGAGGCAATACCACGAGCCAAGACGACCATAACTATGCTGGCAGCTCGAGACACAACAGGTAAATCTTGTGACATCTGCACCAGCAACATCACTCGGTTATCTAAAGCTCTTGCCTGTGTCATATACATGTGATGGGAAACAAATTGTTCGACATAATATCCTCAGATTATCCGACTTATCCCTTAAAATGTTGCAACAGTGCTGGGAACAACCAGCTGGATATAATGCAATTAAAAAAAATCCGATTACGCCTTGAAATGTTGCAGCAAACTGTGTGATGTAGGGAGGGTTCTCACCAACCAACACACTAGGTTGTGTTACATTACCCTAATTAACAACATGAACACACCAACGAGATAACAAACACCACATCAACATCATCCGAACCACCACTACAGTATTACACAACCACTCTATCACCTAATCAACACAAAAGACCCACACAACAAGATCACACCATTACGACAATTACATCATATAACTAATAACGAGTAGGAGGGCAGTCACCAGGGTCCACGTGTGTGCTCCCATCAGATACACAGTGAGCGAGAGGCCATAGTTATGTAGGTCAACACTTATGACGCAACTATGGGGGGGGGGGGAGAGCTGTCGAGGGCTAGTTATGACGGTAGTTGTGTCGAGTCATCACAATCAAACAAATTGGTCATTACTAAGGCTTTCCAAACCAACGATACCCGGTGCTTTCATCACCCGTCTCAAACTGTCACTGGCACCGGTCGAAGGTAAACACATTGGCCCTAGACTCTCAGCCATACTTGAGAACAACATCCTGATTACTGCCAAGAACCTCCCGAGATAAAAACCAGTTAATCAAAAACCTGAATTACCAGGTAGAGTGTTGCACTGAAGCAGGGGTAAAGTTCAAGCACCAAACACCATCATCTATCTCAATCCCAGCAACAACAGCCTAACTGGAAGGTACAGTACCAGCGACCTTGGACAGGAATACAGTAACAAGCTGTGGGATGTAGATAATGAATTCCCGGAATCCTCTTCAGATACTTTGTCAGCTTCCTGGGCAAATTATCAATAAGCCAGGTATCTTATCACTAGCTATGCCAGGTACCTCTACATTCTGTGATATAGTGATGAGAATATACCTAATAAATATACACACATTGATAGAAATGTTGCAAGAAAATCACAAATAACTGGTGAAGAAAGTTGTCGACACTACAGTGGCACGAACAGATAAAACCAAACTGGACAGAAGAAAAACAAAACAATAGGATCAAGTTCAGTATGTGCAGGGGATCACAAAGAGGGAGGGGTGGGGGGGGGGCACAGGTGAATGTGGCGGTAAGCACAATTACCTGCTCGGAGGCCTTCCTGAGCTGCTTCTCTCGCTCATACTGCGTCACCAGCTGTTCGTTGTCCTCCCGCAGCAGCTCCACCTCAACCTGTAGAACAACAAACAACAACAGGTTAATTGTACGGCAACATCATAAAACAGAACATTAGTTATTACATCCACTATTGAAATCTACCACCGTATACAGTACATATTACAAAAACCTGTATCACTAAACATATCAAACACCAAAAATCACTATCCATTCAACTAGTTAACTAAATAACTAACACAGGGGATAGACAGCATAGACCTACAGTACATGTTAAGATAATTCATATAAATAACACTGTAGATAACTCTTACCATGAAGTATAAACCCAGACATAAATAACAGTGATATTTTTGTGGTAAACATGGTAAGATAAAGCCGTTACCATGAAGGACATTCACACACACTTCTTGACAAAGCACACATGTAATGACGAAACACCACCGAGCTGGCAAACTCGAGGCACCTGATTCGAATCCACAGGAGAGTGTCAAGTGCTTCAGTAGCCTATACGACAATTAACATGCCTTTCCGAGCATATTTATCATTAATTTTGAGTCAAGTAAAAAATATTTTCTATAATTATGTTGAAGTGTGTCACTAGACTTGTGTAGTTATGGCACACTTGCTCTTAATCCATGACCACATTTGCTTTACTGAAGAACACAATGAGGACAGACTTACAAGGAGGCAGCCTAATAAGCTCCTATAATTTATATCGTCATTCCTTATCTAGCTATTCCCTCTAAAACACTGGACTGTACTTCTGATAACCACCTTAGCATTCCCATTTCTCTCCTTTCAAGTATGCACTGTATTTTTTTCATTCTTTCTTAATGTAAAAGTTTCAGGTCTATATAATATTACAATATTAAAGGTCTGACCACTGTATCACGTACTTTTACTTTCATTATACCATACTGTCGTAGGTATTTTCTTGATGCATGTGATCCCTAAAACTTTCTAAAACATAAGGTTTTATATACTGTACTGTACTGGGTGTTTCGGAAGCAGCTTTCAGAGCTCGGAGAAGTATTCCCGTGACACAACTACGTAAGGATAAGTGACTCCATGGCCAGTGTCAATGCCCCATAGTTTTGGAGTTATAAAATACCACAAAATTGGGTAGAGGAGGAGAGCAACAAGTCTATGGACATAAACATAAAATATCAAGCCCCATTTAAAGTGACAGAAATAATGGAAATGACGAGTGTGTGATATGAGCTGTGATAGAATTGATAAGAGGAAATACATGGTTCAATAAGAAAAATACTGTAGCTACAGTACTGTAACTGTTACCGCCACGCACAATTGTGTGCGCCAGCAACATGTGTAAGTGAAGATACAGGCAGATAGGGGAATGGTTGTCAAAAGATTTTAAATAAAGAATGAAGCTGTTCTGGGGGAAATAATCAAGGTAAGAAAACCAATAGCAACAATGAAAATAGCAGTTATGAATGAAAAAATATATATACACACTACTGTACTGTACTGTACAGTATTGCAAAAGAAAGGAAATAAAAAAGACAGAAGGATAAAGTTTTGAGTTGTTCATATGTAATTGTACCATACTAACAGTTCCACTTCATTAGTTCCCACGACCATTCAAGCTTTTTCAATACAAGATTTGCCAGTACAGTTATAAGAGCCCTACAAATTACCAGGTGCAGTGGTAGATTAAGGGGGGAGGGGGCACCTGGTGCGCTAGCCCAGGGCCCCCACAAAGCAGGGTTGTGGGCAATCTGGCCACAAGGAAAATTGATGCTGCAAGGGATCATTGGTATTAAACACACTTAAATGAAATCTAAAAATCATTTACTAAATAAAGCACAGTAAATGAATTATGGCCAATGCACTGCTCAAGTTCTTGGCATGTCTCAACATTGAAATCAACGACTGTCAAGGGCAGTCATGATAACGCTGCAAACATGAGTGCCATGTACCGAGGAATGCAAGCCCTCATATAGAAAAAAATTAATTGGCAGTACTCTAAAAACATTTTTTGAGTCAAAGAGAGATAAGTTTGGTGAATATGAGTACCGTATGTTGGCCCTTACAGGGTAAAGACTGTATGGAACAGCAGAGTAATGTATGCTTAGGTTCCTCATCGCCTGAAAAATGTACAGTACATCTCAACCCACTGGATTATGATAATAACTTCAGTAAACCAACAATGCTGCACGGCAGTGTTTCATATGAAAATTCATGCCCTAATAAGTAACATTGCATCAGTTCTTTAAAGGTTCAAACCCTTAAAACAGGATCTCCAAAAAACAGAGACTCTCAAAAGTCGGACATTTTATTTCCTTAATTATATTATGATATATTCTTTTAAAGTGCGATTTAAAAATTTAAACAAACATTGAACTGAGTTTGTGAGAGTGTGTAGAAGCAAATCTTGACATAGTCTACTGGTAACATATACAATATAATGACCTTAGATGCAGGAAAATCCTCAAAACAGGTTCAGTTTTGGTCTGAAGTGTCCAAGATTTGAGGGTCTATACCTGTACAAACTGAACTTATGGATACGGGAGCCACGAAATACTGTACCTAAAATTACCCAAAAGTATAGCAAATAGGGTAAAACCTTAGCGAATATCTGTTATACATACACAAAACATGTGATGCACTTCGCTAAACTAACCTAACCTAACGAAAAGTAAATCCTACGGCTATGTTAAATTACCCCAAAGTAACAGAAACATCGGGAATTATATCTCCATTTTGGATAGGTGGCTCTGGAATTAAGCATTTTTGCTGTTTATTATTTCATTATTTTGACTACATTTCAATGAAAACATTATTAATCAGGTTTTATTGATGTAAAACATATATTCGTTAAGATTTTGCCCTGATTTAATATACTTTTGGGTACTTCGTTGGACCGTATGGATACAGTGTACAGTATATTCTTTTTTTTTATGAAATTGGCTAAGATTTTCTTCTGCTTCAGTACTGCCCACTAGCAGATTTACATTGAATTATTCTAAAATATAGTGGTATACAGTACATGTACAGTATGACCAGAGCACCTAATATTTTTCATTATGTAAATAATAAGGCAGTAGATATTTTGCTGTGACCGGCTAAGTTCCTACTAAAGCTATTTTACTGTGAGTGCGCTCTGATTAGCTAATTGTTCATCACTGGCGAACAACGCAAGAATGATATGTAACCCGTGACTCTCGCGGCATTTGGCATTTACTTCAGCGTGAGTTGATCGTTGTGTAGCTATAAACATACCTCACCAGAAGGAGTTGTTCGACTGTTCATTTTTTCCACAGATGTTCTTATCATTATAAAAGGAGCGACATTTACTAGAACTTAATAGAACCTGACCTAACCAACCTGAGAAACCTACTTAACTTACTACCCAGGGGACGGACCCCCCCCCCCCATCATATTAAACAGAAAGTACTTAACCAATCAGAGCGCCCTCACGGTAAAATGGAGTTAGTAGGAACTTAGCCGGTCACGGTAAAATATCCACTACGTAAACTAAACAATAGCAAGAAGATTCAGGCTAAATTTCATACACATCCCTATTTATAGCCAAAAGACCTTTTCTACAAACATCAAATACCTACAAAGAAAATGTCCAACTTTCATTTTTGGTAATAACCAAACAATGCATACAGCATTTTAATAAAGGCAAATCAGACCATCCTATCCTAACCTCAAAAAAGTTCAGAGTGTAATTTAGTCAATGAGGTGGGTCCGACTAATTACCCAAATGTAGCCAAATATAGCCGGAATGAAGTCAAATAATGGTCCTAGATGAATAAATCGGACTGCTAATCACTTCTCGACTAGTATTTGGTGTCACAGTCACAAAAAATCGGTAAACTTAATTTAATCTGAGTTAATAGATCGAGTGCATGTACCTAACTTAACCTAACCTAACACAACACAAAGATTAAATTAAGTTTACCAATTTTTTTGTACTTTATGACACCAAATAATAATGGAGAAGTGATTCACAGCCCGAATTACGCTTGTACGACCATCATTTGACTTCATTCCGGGTACATTTGGGTAATTAGTCGGACCGAATGAGGTTAGGTTAAGTAGGTTTGCTTTGTTCATTCTAAGACAGCATGATCGATGTCTCCAAGCAGGAAAAGAGCGACAACAGTGTCCTAAAGAAACAACCATGCAGAATGTTTGATTGAAACCCTGAGTTCCTTTCTTTAAAAGCAACACAAAATTGATTCCCTTACCTCATGCTCCTGGTTCTCTGTGTAGGCGAGGTCGAGACATTCCAAGATGTTTACCACTAAGGGCATTAAATCCTTTACGACATCTTCATCATAGCGTGTTATCATTCGCTCGAACTCTTGGTATATACTCCCCGCTAAAGACTGAACTTTCTCTGACATTACGATATGGGAGTCGTCGTGAGAGTTATAAACCGTCTCTCCATCCATCATATCCATTTTGGATAAATTTTTAGGACCAAACCACTTCTATAATATAATACGGATCATTTAACCATATTCACACCTCATTTTCCTTTCACTATGAATCACTAAACGGTTTTCTTCACTTGACACTCACAGCTGTGACTCGCACCCCCTCATGGCCATCATTGAATGACGTAGCAGCACAAAACTTAGGTCCACGTTCCAATAATATCTGTTATTTACCAAGTATATTTAGCCAAATCCACCCCCTAAATATTGTATTGCTATTTCAGTGTGATAAAATATAATTCAAATATATATTCGCTCTCAAAGTATTGTTTATTATGTTGCATTACAGACAAACCTATAAGTATTTACATCTCTTTAGAAGAGTCATAAGATATATTGATTTTCCAGTAATAGACAATTATAACAGGAAGACTTTTGAGATTAAATATATATATTTTAATATATATTGATGATTTATTGATATTTTAATAATAATTTCATATTAATAATAATTTAATCGTAAGGAAAATATATTTGGAAAGGGGACATTTGGCCAAAATGTATAATAAAAACCAATGATATTAGTTTCTGTTTTCAATATAAAGAAATATTTTTTTATATATCTAGATTTAATAACCAAAACTAAGTTTTTCTAAAATATATAAAAAACACATGATTCATGTTAACATTTTGTGATGCTGATGTTCGATTTTCATACAGCGACTTTGGTTCCTCAAACTGATAACCGGCAGTGTAAATTATATACGCTCTATGTCATTATCTCCAATTTTAGTATGAAATATAAAATACAAATATTTTTCATGTTTTTTTTGCTATATAAATTTTCTTATATATAATATAACAATTGTCCATTATGAACTATTCGGACACTGTGTTGTGTCCGGCAACATATACTGAGGATGGCTTACCTCGGTACACGGATGGTGCGGTTATCTCCAAGAATATTCACTGACATTCCTTTACCAATTTCCTGTCGCCGATACTTTGCAGCAGAATCACAACAAAATAATGTTAGGATCGGCTGCGCCAGCGGTTTTTGGGGTGACACACCAACAGCAGGTAATATTTAAATTACAAACTGGAAGAAGGTTGTGTAATAATAAACTAGAATATTGTGGCAAAGATAGATTGATTATTTATTGAGTCCCATCATACATGTTCAGTTTGATTCATCGTGTATATAAAAAGTGCAGGTATATGAAGACACCCTGAGTCATCCGGGGGTCTGGGGCCCGGTTTACATTAGGTATAGTTCCTGGGTTTTGTGGTTAGGTTAGATATCTAAATACAGGGATGACTGAAACTAAAATCGGCAGTGTAGCAATATATCTCAGTGATTGGATAACTTAACTTCTGATATTGTTTATTATAATAAAGAACTTGGTTCATTAGGTTTAGAGTAAATTTGCATTGTCACACCGTTCACTTTTAGCAAGTAAAAAATATATTTTTCTGGTGTATTTGTGTGTGTTTAGACCGAATATGACCTTCATTTTTGGCGGAAATTAGCCGGGGTTTGTTTAGCGATTTTTTTTTTGTTTAACGTTTTCCGAAAAAAAAAAGTGGCTAAGCGACTAAAGAATACACACAAAAAAAAAACACTAGAAAAACCAAAACCTGACCTAACTTAACTGACTCACCATATGATGGAATCACCTATTTCTTACCCTATTGGCCTGGTTCTTGTTCGTTGTTGCATTCTGGGATTCTTACCCAACGCCACATATGTTGGTCTTTGCGATATTTACATTCCATCTTGCGATCGAAAAAATGCTATAGTTTCTACATTTTTTTTCTTCAAAAAACTCACAATCAGCTCCATATACTTTAAGTGACATCCATCGCAGACTTCCATGGTCGGAACTGAACTTGAATTTCAAAATATGAGTGACCCAAAATAAAACTCTGAATTAGCAAAAACGCTTTTGATTGGCCGCGTGACGTGTACGCATGCGTGTCATGATTTATGAAGGAGACGCGAGAGACACGCAGTGTTGGGTGAGAGGCAGACGATAATGGCGGGAAATAATGGAAGAAAATAGAAATTTATTTGGAAAAGCTATCTCCGTTAGTATACATTTCCGCCGGTAATGTAATAGATGAAAATTATCTAATAATTAGACGTCTTATTCGAATATGATAATAGATTAGTGGTAGGAATGAACGGTGTGTAAACTCAATAATACCATGTTTAGAAAGCTTTGATAATACAGTACTCTTTATTTCACTGTCATTTCAATAATAAAATTCTTGTGTTTCAGCTCCACAACTCATCCACAATGGCAATCTCGACTTCCTCATGTTTGACTACTTGTCGGAGATCACAATGTCTCTCCTCACTGCAGCTCGAGCAAAGAGGCCTGAGTTTGGTTATGCCCCAGATTTTGTTCTCTTTGCCCTCGGGCCATATTTAAATGAAATTAAGAGCAAGGGTGAGTCCTACTCATTATTTTACAAGTTGTGTTATTGTCTGGGTGAACACCCTTGATTTACCCCCACAGACTTGTTCGGCATTACACAATCTGCCTTATCCAGGCTTGGTCATAAAATGGGATTTCAGGGTCAGTTCTCATTTTTTATTAAATGCTTGTAGCTTAACTGTACAGATTATAATTTTGTGCATGCTTTTAATATGAACTTTCTGGGGTGGACTAGCTTTTTACCTTAAATGATTATTATCAATAAATAAATGTTCTTAGCACATGTGCTTTAGAAAACTTAAAAGAAATTGTTTAAACTAATGCCAATTTTCAGGAATAAGAGTATTAAGCAATGCTGGAGGCATCAACCCTGAGGGTTGTGCCATGGCCATGAGACAAGCTGCAAAAAAAGCTGGTGTAGATCTAAAGGTTAGTTACTGGATGATGGATGTTGAGCCAGTCACAGACCTTATTATGCAGGGCCGGATTCAGGAGTGGGCAAAGTGGGCAGCTGCCCAGGGGCCTCCACATATTACAATATTTTATTTATTTGTTTATTCATTTGGATTATTTTTATTTTCATTCTTTAAAATTCATGTTTATCTATTCCATCACGTAAAACTCTTGGGTACGGGTAGTTATATTGAGGGGGGCCTCCACAAAGAGGCTGCCCATGGGCCTCCACAGGTCTAAATCCGGCACTGTTATTATGTGTAGGGTGTGATGTGCGGTAATGTATCCAATATATGCTAATGTGCATATTGTTCTGGTCTAAAATTCTGAGGGTTTACTGTGTGACTGAGTCATGTTCATTCCATAAAAACAAAAAACAGTTAAAATCATTCCACATAAATAGGGTGGATGTTGAATTGGAAGGGTCAAAAGAGCATCCAGTATAATTAATATTTAAAGACCAGTTTTTTACAGTTTATACTATTTATTAAGGAAATATGTGATGTGTATCAGGGTGTGGCTGTCTCAGTGAGTGATGAATCATATGGAAAGAGAACCATATCCAGGGAGGCACAGATGGAGATGTACAGCACACTCAATAAAAAACTTATCTTTACGGAAGAAGGTTTTCAATAAAGGCCCATGAGGCATACTGTTATTCACCATTCATATGGAAACAAACTAGTAATTTTATATTTTGAATGAAATAACTAAATTATGCCTACCATAATAGGTAGGAAATATTTCATCACGCCTATCAACCCTAACGAGACACCAGGATTGTTCAGTTCCAAATTCATCGGACCCCTCCTGAAACATACTTTTTTTACTGAGTGTAGAAGAGATGTGTTGGCCCAACATTATGAAATTACTGTGAAACATTAACTCTTTGCATGAGGAAAGAACAAACTTCAGGCAACAAATTATGTGTTTAAGAGCAATGAGAAGGAAAAATACTGGAATAAGTTGTGGAAGTAAAAGGAGTATAAGGCAAAAAGTGGATCAGGGTCTGCTCAGGTGGTGTGGACATATTTAAGAGAATGGAAAGTTGGATAAAAAGGGAGCATTATTGAGAGGGATGGTAGGAGGGAAAGGGGAAGACCAAAAAGGAGATAGAGTGATTGTGTGCAGAATGCTCCAAAAAGGAAGGAAATGGATGCCCAGGAAACAGCAGTGTGTATGGATTAGTAGAGAGCAAGGCATAAAGTGATTTGGGGGAAAGGACTTGGTACTGATAGGTGATGCTTACATGTATGAAATGATGAATAACCCAGATGGATATATGGGCCATGTTGTGGAAGAGAAGTACCATATCAAAACACATGCAGCACCAGCATCATCCTCATTTTTTTTTTACAGCCATTTTACTTCTGGGGTTGGCTATTATTACCTAATGGCAGCTCTCTATGATACTTTGTCTCTCACAGCTTCTATCATCAGGTTCTTATCTCTGAGGTCATTTCTTACAACCCCACTCCATGTCATTTTTGGCCTTCCCTCCACATTCTGACTCTTGCATCTCGATCCAATTGGTCTCCATTCTCTCCATATGCCTGAACCATCTCAACCAACCTCTATGCTAAACCTCGCCAATAATCTCAATATTCAGCTCAGCTCTTAACAGGGTTTCTTATCTTTCAGTGTCATATTACACTCCTGCAGCAGTAAGAATTAATGATGATTGATTGAAGGGAGAATGTATGTCTACAGTACTATAGAATTTTCTTTTGTTTCTGGACACTGTTTTATTGTGGGAAAAAACTTGAAAGTGCAGAGGTTATAGTACAAGGTTAAAAAAGCTTTTTTGTTTAAGTATTTATAACACTACTTACTGTTAAAAGTTCAACATCAGTTGAATCCATGTGGTGAAGCATTCAACGTTGGAACCTTCCTCCCAGTTGCACAGTCGCTGTATACTGTATTTGTAACCTTAACAAGATGACAGCTTTTATAACCGGCTAACTAGTTTCTTCTCGCTTCTTGCAAATTATGCTTTGTGACTGTACTGTGAAATGTAATACTGTATTGTTACCCATCTAAAAGCCTAATATTTGCAGTTACTTCATAAACACCTTACAGATGTACACACATTGAGGGATAAACAGCACTATAAATTGCTCTGCCCTCTGTTTTATTTTCATTGATTACAACAGAAATCATTCCTCCCATTGATTGTATTCGCCAGTCATGATAAGATAACATTATGTATGTGATTTGGATGATAACAGAGGCATTATTAGCCATATGATGTGTAGGTTAAGATTACAGAATTTACTTTTAGCTTTCTTTTCAATGGCATCTGATAATCTCATGTGTTTCTTCCCTAATAGTTTACATTTATATACAGTAAGATCAATCAATTACTCAGGATGCCATTCTAATAATGAGGGTTGGCAATCATGACCCTTGATTCCAGATGTTTTCAGGCTGTCTTTACTGATTTTTCTAAGTTTGGTATCACTCCAGGTACTGTTTTTATTTTCATTCATCCGTCTTTATTTTCATTCATCCGTCCCAGTCTCTACCTTCCCATGGCCCTACTATCCTTAATTATACCCTGCCATTATCTTCTTATCTTCATTTACTTGGCCAAATATCTCATTTTTATTGTTCTCTAAATATCTGGTAATGTATTTCTCTTGTTCCTAGACATTTTCAATACTTTATTTGTTTTTCTCTCAGTGTAACTTAACTGTAACACTCTCCTGAAGTACCACATTGTGAAGGCCGCCTGCTGTCTATTGAAAGTGTCCATGCTTCTAACTTTGTGTTGACCAAATATGATATTTCAGCTTCCTTTTTCTCAAACAAATACATTTGTCTTTTGGATTATATTTATCGACTTTTCACCCAACAGGTAGCAGTGGTGACAGGAGATGATCTAATGCCAATTAAAGAGGAACTGATATTATCTGGTAAACCAGACATGAAGAGTGGTCTTCCACTTCCAAAGTCAGTACATAGCATGAATGCTTACCTTGGGTAAGTCTTGTTACTGATGCTGTTTTGGTACTACCAATATATCACAGTTGTTTATATTAAAGATGGTTAAAGGATATACTATAATGTACTCATTATTATAAGCCATAATGATTTTTTCTAATTAGCATTAATGATTTAATTGGATAAGGCTTTGTTGTTTGCATGCTATTTCAAAAACATAGATTGGGAAGAAGTATGACTCCATGCGGTTTGATTATACTGTACAGTACTATTATTCCTTGGTGGTTTTCAGTGCGGGTCCTATTGCACGTGTTCTGGATGAAGGAGCGGATGTTGTTATTACAGGCCGATGTGCAGACAGCTCCCTTGCACTTGGACCACTCATGCATACTGTAAGTGCTGTTGTATTCTACATGACTGATATTTTGTTTCTTTTGACCTTTCTCTCAAATAGGCCAGTTTTAGACTAGAATATTTATTGAAGAATGAGACTTATGGTAATCTTCAGCCAAAAATGTATTTCCCATTGATTTTATAAAAATAGAGATAGTCCTCATCATTCTTTTTGTAAGGTTGAGGTGGTTATTCACATCTCATGATTACAGGGCAGTTTCATCAGAAGACCTTATTTGTGAATCATAGATCAAAGCATGGAGCCACACATGCCATTCTGAAAGGTATGTTAGCCAATAAAAATGCAGTCTGACTGTGTGGCTTACATTAAATACCAAGTAGATAACCCATATTCAAGTTATTTTTTTAATAATTTCAGTTTGGTTGGCAGCCAGAGGATCTTGATCAGCTTGCTGCTGGTAGTCTGGCTGGTCACTTGATTGAGTGTGGAGCACAGGCAACTGGTGGCACATACACTGACTGGCACATAGTTCCAGATTGGCATAACATTGGTGAGGTTGATGATCATGTACAGTATCAGAAATTAACAGTAAAAAAAAGTATGTTACTTATCTTTAATGGTTGTTATTGCTGATAAAATTTTCTTGGAATTTTCCAGAAAATGTGCCTTTCGGAAAATCGTTTCCAAGCCGTAATTTTCTGGAAATTCCAGCTTTGGGAATCAGTTTCTGAGAAAATTTCAATTCCGGCTATCAGAAAGTTCCGGTTAAGAGGGATTCTGGCTAACGGAGATATTACTGTATACTGTATCTGTATAAAAATGTGAGGTTCTTCTATTGTATTTGAAGCAGAGATGAAGTCAAATTTTATATTTGTTAGGAGGGTGAGTAAGGTAAAGAACGTATGAGGTAGATTTATGGAGTGTGACAAAATAGACCGATTAAGCTGATTTTAGGTGGTATTAATGCTGTAAGGGGAAGTGGAAATAGGAAGTACAGTACAGTAGTAGAATAGAATTGATAATGATAGCATTTTGTATGTAAAGTTTAGCTGGTAATCCACCTTTTATGTGGAAAGTGAAGAACAACAGATATGAAGAAGGGTAGTTAATGTAGGAGTTTATAGCTTGTGAATGTTACTTATTTTTTGGTTGCATTTTAACTACTCTACATGTACCTCATATTAATTGGAATGTAGATAAGGAGTTGTATAATATTATATTCATGTTATTTAGGATTTACTTATTTTTATGTGATTAATTAGAATTTTGCCATTTCCCTCTTTATATTAACTTCTTTTTTTTATGTAGGTTTCCCAATAGCAGAGGTGTCCAGCAGTGGCAGTTTCCTCATTACAAAACCTCCTAATACTGGTGGTTTAGTTAACTGTGGAACTGTTGCTGAGCAAATGCTGTATGAGATTGGGGATCCCCGTGCCTACGTACTGCCAGATGTGGTGTGTGACTTCTCCGGAGTAACATTAAAGGAAGTGAAACAGGGAGTCCTTGTATCTGGAGTGAAGGGAAAACCTGCCACAGATTCTTTTAAGGTGATTTCTTAGTTTAATGTTGTGTCTAATATGCAAGAATTTTAATTGGATGAAGTACAGTATTAGTGATGGAAAATTATAATGATACAGTATATAAAATGTGTAATGTACAGTAATTTTAGATTAACTCTTTATAACACTGTATAACTTCAGGTTATTTGGCAAGATAGGGAAATAACCTGCTACCCCCGACCAACCCTGATGCCGCAGTCTGTCTTTGTCAACACACCAACAAAAACAAAAACAAAAATATCTAGCAAACTATAGATAAAAAACAAAGATTATTTGTTTCTTTCCTGGACACTTGGATAAACCCAAGACTATATTTATGGGTTTCTTGCAGCCTCCCCACTGTTCAGTTTCTGGTAATGCTGGATGAAGCTAAATGCTTTCTTATCTCATGAAAGCTCCCAAAATTGGAAGGAATAAGTTTTCTGTAATATACAGTATTTAAAGATTTCCCCTTCCTGAACATACTGTATGTATGGCCTCACACTATAACTTAACAGGTACTGCTGTGTTATATTTGGACATGAAATCTACCTAACCTAACCATGGTTAGAAAGTTAATTTGGTAATTTTTTTCACCATTTAAACGTGTTTAAGGTAGCAGTACATTAGTAGCTAAGTTTTGGGAAGTGTCTCAGAAAAAATCTTAAAAAATGCCATGACAGCAGCTGGAGAAGTGCACAGTAGGTGTATTGACGTGTGGTGGTTGATTTGAAATACATTTAGCTTGTCGTTTCTTGCAAAACATAGGAAGGTGGAAGTAATTTAGGTAGCCACAAAAAAATAAAATAAAAATAATCACAGTAAAGCTATAAATTTTCTTCACTGCTTTTCCGTTTTATATCCAAGACTGTGAATGGAGGATATAATAATCATGCTATCTGTGTGCATATGCCTAGAAATTTTTCACATATATCACTTTGGGACTGCCAATGATTACACATGCTCTATACTTTATCTCTGTGACTATTATATAACAATCTATGTCATATCTTATAGGTAAGTGCCACGTACCTGGAAGGCTACAAAGCAACAGCTGTATGCTGTGTGGGTGGACCCAGGAGTCGAGAGAAGGGCAAGAAGACAGCAGAAGCCATTTTGAAAAGGTGTCAGAATATTTTCAAGTTGTTGAAAATTAAGGATTTCACAAGAACACATATCCAAGTTTTGGGAGGTGAAGATACATATGGACCACATGCTAGGTATGAGAACAAAACTTATGAATGATCCATGTACAGTATTACAGTACTTGCAACTCTTTTGACATGGTCAAACTTTAGTGGACTCCTTTTTAAAGATTTGATTTTTGAAGTGTTAGATATTCAGGTAAACTTAACACCTTAGTTTCATGTGAAAAATTATTTCTTTGGTGGAGCCATAAAAATTTAATAATTTTTATCTCATTAATGTAATTTTGTCTGGCTAATATATTGATTGACCTGACTGCAGAAAATTAAAGTGAATTATTTCAGGATAGGTTGCCAGAATTATTTTGTGTGTCCTCAGTCCATACTATGTCTTAGTGATAAACTGTATTGTAAAGATATATGTGCTTATGCATATTTATTGATATTAAAATACATTACCAACAGTTTGGATGATGGACCCAGAGAGGGAGTAATATGGATGTCAGTCCATCACTCTGATAAGAAAGCTTTAGAGCTCTTCTCCAGAGAAATTGCAGCTGCAGGCACAGGTATGGCACCTGGGCTAACCTCCATAGTTGGAGGTCGACCTAAACCATCTCCATTGTTACATCTTCACTCATTCTTGGTAAAGAAAGACATATGCAAGGTAAAGTTTGTGTTATTGTTACTATAATAGAGGTCTCATGAATGTTAAATTGTAGACTCACACTATAACTGATTTTCATACAACCTTAGTAGATGGAAGTTTTTTTTTTAGAGCTAATGGGCTTAATATTATAAGTTAACTAGCTTCTTTTATGTATATATATATATATATATATATATATATATCTCTCATGTAGATCCACAATGAAAACGTAGATAAGATATATATATATATATATATATATATATATATATATATATATATATATATATATATATATATATATATATATATATATATATATATATAGATATATATATAGATATATATATATATATATATACCTGTATCATTGTAACACAAAATACATTGGCTTTGATCCATTGCCCACATGTATACACTGTACCCATAAACAATACTGTATAGAAAAAAAGAAAACTTTGTCAAAGATTCAAAAGAACTGATCAGGGATATGTATTAGCATGAGTGTTGCACTCTAATAGCTGGATTTGCATTTAAAGTAGAGAATTTCATGCTGTTGACTGAATGAAAAAATTTTGCTTAATTGCTTTGCTGTAAGTCTCTTTTTATTATTCAATAGTATGACTAAACCAAATTACCCCCATACACCATAATTTCATCAATTTTGCATTGATTTTCTTATCCATACTTGCTTTTTTTTTTTAAACAATATACTGTATTGTGTTTTCAAGTTTCTGCCATGCCATCAGGGTTTGTTGACAATCCACTGCTGTGCAGGCAAGGCAGACAGTTCAGTGTTGTATTGGGAATTCATCACAAACAGAAAAACAAAGACTAACCTAACCTTACCACACACAACATTATGATCATATTGGTTAGGTTTGGTTGCTTCATTCTGTCAGTTTTTAGAAAACAATCAATATTTGGTTTAGTAGTCCTGCCAATGAAACTTTTTCACTATTGCATGTGTTTTCTCATTTATTGTGCTGTCACTAGCAGGGAGCAGAAATGTAAACGAATTATAACCCATGTCACTCAAGCATCATTAAGGACTGCCAGACTCTGTAATCAAGTGTTATGAAGTATATCTCACCAACTAATGAAATCATATAGAATGAACATATCTACTGTACATTGCAATTACCAATTTGCTGACAAACTGATAACTACCACACTTCAAAATAATTTTGACGAATTTTTAAGTTGGCTCAAATGTTCTTCCACCCTTCTGACAATACTGTACATGGCAAGTGTAATGATTTTGGTTAAGTGAAAGATCCTGGAGTTGAAATACTCAAAGAAACTCAACTGGAAGTAGAACAATACTGTAATGTTAAGTGAACTGATCAACATGTTGAATTGACAGCTGGTTAAGTGGTTCTGCTTATTGTATAGAATGTAAACGTAAAGTGTGATATTATTCAGTAAACAAGACATGCCTGTAATAATTATCTTTAGTGCTATAGGATGCCACAGGCAAATTTCCTTCTCATTCCATAATTTCCTTCTAGGTAAACATCAGTGTGGATGGTAAAGCTGAAGCCTATAGTGAGGCATCAGACTCTTGGGTCCCATCATCCACCTATGACTATGCTGACCAGCCCATTTCTCATGTCTCAGACTTGGCCACTGGTTCAAAAAAGTATGTAATATTCCATGATTGATGTTGATTTTACGTTCTTATCTGTTTTATGAAATATTTGGGTATGGGTGGGTACAGGCGATATATTGATGCATGGACTAAGTTTGATTGTTTTGCCAGTACAGGTATTACATGTATTACTAAAAATTTAATGGGAGGACTGTAGCCTTGGCACGATGAGTGCTGGTTGGACCGACTCATGTTTGGAGAGCCTCCTACCTCTCTTGAGAAATCTTTGGATCTGTTATCCCCCATTTGGAGGCAGCAGATTTGATGGGGAAGATTTGGCAATTAAACTATCTAAGTAGATTAATGGATTTATCTCACTGCCAGTGAAGGGTTTGAGCAATGAGATAGATACCCCAAAACAAAGCAAGCACTGCCATTAATGTGTAATGAGGTTGAGTTTGGGTTCATGGTAATAATGATTTTATTATGTTGAAAGAGTTTTATGTCTGAAGTTGTGTCAGAAACATAAAGAACAGCAACTCTGCAACATTGGATACCAGAGAGATTTAATTGTAACAACATTTTTTCAATCTTTCTCTTTTAGTTATCGTCTAGAAGATCTGGCCTTAACCCGCAGCGGTGACAAGGCTAACTCCTGTAATGTTGGTGTGATTGCTCGTCATCCTGCATTATACCCTTATCTGAAGCAGGCTCTTACCTCTCTTACCGTGGCCAGTTATTTCAGCCATGTGTTCCCAGCTGACCTTAACCCTGTGGATTGTGTAAAAAGGTAGGGATTGGATAGAGAGGTATGATTTTTTGCAATTTCAGTAGTGCATGCATTTTAGTGTGTTTTAATGTGTACCTGTGATTTCAAAAGTGAGTATACTGTATAACATGAAAAATTAGAGTACTTAGCAAAGACCAATAGAATGGAACAGTACTTAAGGGTAAAATAGACTTATTGAGTAAATAAGAAGACCATACATTATTACTTTACCTATAAGTGTCCAAGTGTGACGTGAAAGGTCGAGTCGGGTGCTTATATCACTGGCTTTTCCTATGGGGTGTGAGTCAGCTCTTATGTGGGTGGATGAATGAGGTCCTGTCAGGGTTTCCAGATGCCCTGTATATGAAAATCTGATAAATGTGCAGTTTGGTAAAAATAAGCCCTGTATGTTAATTATATCTTTTCATACATACAATAAAATGTATTATTCGATCACTAATATCCCCTCTGAAAATATTAATACTGCATATAGTAATATGTACTGGTAAATCAATATTTTTGTTCAGTACAATTACACCAGAAAAAGTATTAATGATTGAAAGAGTTCATTATGGATTTATAGGATATCTAAGGTGTTACCACTTACCTTAGGTAATACTGTACAGGTATTAAATTGCTAATATTCCCAAGAGTGCATTGTACAGGTACCTCTTGATTTATGCGATAATGACGTTCTGGAAAATGGTTGTGTAAATCAAAAACTTATAAATCAAACAATGTAAATTGTGGAAATTAGGAGGTTTCGTTATTATTAAGACAGTACCAGTGAAAATCTACAGTATGCACATCCCAGGAAATAAACTCCAGGTCTTTGCTTTATCACAAACATGCTGACGGGAATATTTTTGTGAGTTTGGTGTTTGATCCATGTGTTCATCATTCGTTCCATTCTCTCCATAATTGATCTTCATGATACACTTATTAATGTTCCACTTTTGGCATTCTCCTTGATCTTCTCTGCACTATTATGAATAGTCCGTTAACTAGATTCATTAAGTCCAAGGACACGCTTAATAACAGCTGTTCATTCACCTGTAACACTCCGTAACTATAGAATGTATCCATGCAAAACAGGAAGTTGCATACCCTCGCCACACGTATGCGCACTTCTCATACGACGCTGGTAACACTACACCACTGTGCTGTCACACCAATGATGATGTTTATCTATTGTCACGTTATTCCAAACAGAAGCCCACATAAACTAAAAACAAAAAGTGTAAATGGACCGTGTGCATTATTCTAAAAATGATGTATAACAAACACGTGTAAATCAAGAGGGGCCTGTAATTGAGAAAAAAATTAATTGTGTATCTTGACATATAATTCAGTTGGCATAGAAACGTATGGCAGCAGAACATGCAGCATGGAAGCGGATAGCACAGCTTCTTTAGTATGAACAAGACACTATGAAATTTTAAGTTCTATCCTTGGCTGTTCTATACAGATCTTGTTTATGAGAATGGTGCTTAATTATAATTAACAGATATTTGTGACATTGGTGTTTTATGTAATAACTAAAAGTTTTTGGTTAATTGTAACAAGCAGTATTATACAGTATTCATTCTGTAGGTACATAGAAGCAATCAAATGTTAAGTAGATAATTATATAGGATATTGCCATTACCTGAGGTAGTAAATAATCTAATATTATTGTATAATAGTACCTGTAGATTAAGAGCATCATTAAGATGACTACTAAATCTGAGGATAAAAATATATTTATAATATGAATTTTAAGCTTCACATTTTCTAATAAAACTTGAATTGATGTAATGTACTCACAGTCGTAACAATATTTTAATTCTGTAAATATTTAATAAATATTATTCTTCATACTGTGACTTAGTTGTTAAATATTTTAGCTATATTTATTCCAGAATTGCTGCTGTTGTATGAGATATTTCATCTTTCTCACTGAGGGGTGTATTGGAGCACTTATGTTCTTAAGTACAGTCGTCATGCTCTCTTGGTTACCAGTAAATCGGAGGATAATTTTAAAGATCAGTGAGATAGTTATTGGATTGAGTAGTTTAAATGTGAATTTATGATAATATTTTGCTTGTATTCTCTTCACTTAGGTATGAAGTTGATGGTATCTGTGGCCTTAATTTCATCCTGGAAAATTCCCTGGGAGGCGGTGGTGTTGCATCACTTCGCTCTGACCCTCAAGGCAAAGCATATGGCCAGATGTTGCTTGACTTTGTTGTGAGGGACATGCCTGACATGGCTACTCTAACTCAGAATTAATTGTCATCTTTTGATATGAATTAGCGCAGGTGTGTTTATGAAAAGGGAATTACTCATCAATAACTCAAGATATTTAAATGTCATTTCTTTCAAGATACTGTATAACCAAACCATATTTTTTAGGAGGATATAATGCTAAACTTGTGAACAGACATACTGTATACTGTAGAAAACAATACTATATAAATGAAACTTGGTATGTAGATATACAGTAATCTTATGGTATATCGGAGGGATTTAGTAATCCATATTTTGGGGAATTATGAACATTCCGTGTTATTTACAGATACATTATATAGATACTTACACAAGGGTGTTTGATCTAGCAATAGATCTGGACCAACTTGATCTTGTTTGATGATGTTAATGAATCATATTAATATTTTCTTGTATGGCAAATACTGTAGTACATGTATTACTTTGACATGGATAATAAATGCTTGTTTAGATATACAGTACTGTACTGGATTAGGTTGAGAATGTTCGTTTTTATAATAACATTCTTAAAAACCATTCAACATTGTATGCTTGCAGACCACATTGGCACACTCATAGGGAAGTACAACATTTGAATCTTTTGAGTTTAAAGTTCATTTTCTCATATATTTCCATTTTCATCCCTCAAACTTTCTCGGTGTATTTTTATACTTACAGAGGGTTCCCAGGTTATGAACAGGTTCCCTTCCTGAGGATGTTCTTAAGTCAGAAATGTACGTAAGTCGGAAAACATGCTATGTGCATACCGTACTTACAGAACAATGTTTAAGATCCCACTATATCATAGCCTAAGTCCTTCTATACATCTAAAATTACTTAATTTAAGAGAAAATAAGAAATAGAATGACAAAATATAGTAAATTAAAGTAAAAAATAAGTCATCAGGCAAATAAAATAATGTAAATTTTAAGTTTAACCCCGTTTATATCAACTGGCATTCGTAAGTCAAACATTTGTATATTGGGGACCCTTTGTACATGTACAGCATCATTATACAAACTTCAAATGTATTGCTAATTGAAAAATAGCAGAAATGCTTTCTGTTAACATTTACTTAGGAAACTCTTATATGTTAAGTATTTGCACATATTAACGTTGAAATAATAATGAATATTGTTATTACTATATTTTCACATTTCAAATTTTGAAAATTATTTTCCTGCTTTAATGTAGGGAGACCAGGCAGCTGTTGATGCCATGATTCTCAGCATTCAGTCACCTCAGCAGAGTGCTAGTCCAACCAAGGGTTATCCCACCAATGGCACGTGTTAGTGTTGGTATACAAGTGTACATGGAGGGAGCATGGACCTCCACTTTGGCCAGGACATGTACCCATGACTTTCATCTATTTTGATACAAACATCTAGTAGTTACCAATCATCAGAAGGATATGATACACCATGCAGGTATATGTGTTGGGGTATGATAGTGGTGTCATAAGGAACTCCTGCCTGGCTAACCATAGTGTGAAGGTAAAGACAATACAGTACAGGTATTGGTCTTTTGATGTCATTTTGATTTGGTTGATTCCTTTGTAAATGAACTAGGATAACAGTGGTACAGTATTTATTTAACAGAAACATATTTACTGTTTAAAGAGAAAATTTAGTGTTTTAGGATTGCCTAAAACATACACAATTACTAGTATGGAAAATATCTGTAAAATATATATTTTTATTAAATATTGAGCCCTTTTATATTGTAATACTGTACCAGGATATAACCTTCATATTTTACGTACAGTTGTACCCTGCTTTACGCGGTCAATTGAACCCACAGGATACCGCGTTAAGTGAACAACAGAACATATGGGATTAATTCCAATAGAGACTGGCCCGACCCCCAAACTCCACTTTTTGACGACACACAACTTTGTTGTAGTAAAAATTTTATCTTAACTTTATGATGGTATGAACAAACAAGTAATATAGAAGAGGCTAGGTTAGGAAAAATAAAGGTTAGGTTAGGAAAACTAAAAGTTAGGTGTAACACTTACGTTAGTAGAAGAGATGGGTCGGCATACGGGGATGGAGGCGGAGGGGAGGGAGGGAGGAGGAGGGGGGAGAGGCGAGGCAGGTGGGAGCGGGTGGCGGGTGGGGCGAATCTAAAAATAGCGTCTCGAGCCGGACACTGCGCGTACATGGGTAGATGAACCGCGTTAAGTGAAAGTTCGGTTCTGGCAAGGCACCGCGTATATGAGAAATCGCGTTAAGTGAAACCGTGTAAAGCGGGGTACAACTGTACCTTCTTTGTAGCTAATTTTTAATTAATTATATATTTTATGTCATGGAGTCAAAATTTGATTTTGAAATATATGTTACAGTAGATTTCTGTAGAACACAAGGGCTACATTCCTACTGTTTATGACTTAAAAATGAAAGAAACCTGAAAATTCAGCTTGTATATAATTTGGAGATGGTGAATGGTGGTTGTTCATGGTGGATTGTGGTAATAACAGCTATAAATATGTTACCTTAGCATCCCCAAACAGGGTTTCTGATGTCTATGGCCTAGAAGAGCATTGTTGAGGAAGAGGAAGTATGGGAAGACCACAATTTTACTTAATTTTTTTCTGTCTGGGTATGTGATGAATGTGTTCGCTTTCATGGATTGTGCCACTGACATTGTTGCTTCCCCACTAGAAGGCTAATTGAGGATTTTGTAAATAGTTTTAAGTTGAAATTAATCCTCATTCTCTTTCTATACTCAGTACCACCAGAAAGCTTCATTAGGTGCTTGGAAACCATTATAATATAGAACTATTAGTCAGAAGGCACAAAACTAGTAAAGATGTCATAATAAGTGGTGTATGCAGCATGGCAACACAGTGTAGCAATAAATTCAAGGCAACAAACTCTCCTGGACACGTCCAAGAAGGAGGACATGTTCAAATTGGATACCAGAAGACTCACTACCTGCCCAGTGTTGAGTGATCGTACTAAATCAACTGCATTACGTAGGGATTTTGCCAAGCATAAAACAGTACAGTTTTGGATTTTACTGTTGTGTTTTTAATTTAGCCATCAAAGTAATTTTGGTCATTGAGTATTTAAAATATTAAGTACTATTTGGGTAGAGTACAAGTTGATGAAACAGAATACTGCAGTTTTTTCCTATTTCTATTTGACGATCAATGAATGAGAAATTAAATTTGCCTTGTTTTACTATACAAGTACTGTACTGTACTTTAATTGTGAGAAATAATATCACTGAAAACTGTCTTTGCTCTTTACTTATGATGGTACAGTACTTGTAAACTGTATACTGTACATATGTGCATATAGAAATCTGCTTAAGTTTTGATAAGCCTTGAATATTTATTTTCTGTGATATTGTTGAATTCACAAAGATCACGGCTGTGTATTATACTTTTATATTTGCAATACAGTAATTGTGTGGGTAGAATCAGACCTGTCCATACTCAGAAGGATAGAATACGGTTTATTTATAAATTGTTTTGTATAAATTCCTAGAACATTTGTCCCTTCATAAGTGAAATGCTATATAGTACATCTCTTTTAATAAAGAGTATTTAGTACTCTGAGTGAAATATGTTAACTCATTACTGTGCAAAAATTCTCAGGGAATTGATCCTTTTGGGTATGTGGAACAAGTCTTCAAATATGTTATTACTGATAATTAAATATATAATTCATAATTACTGTTTTTTCCTTTCCTCTGCATTTATGCCTCATCATTAAATTTTTTTTTTACTAAATCTCTAGGGATCATCAGAGTTGTATTTCATGAACTCCTTTAGATAACTTCAAGTGGGGAAAAGTCTCCGGTCTTTTGTTTCTGACCAACCCACTTCATAGTTGGAAATGGCTTGCAAGAGTGAAAGAAAAAATTAGGGTTTGGCCAGGAAATTCCTATTGGTTATATTTGTTCATATCATATTTGCTCAGTTCTGAACCTACATCAATCTCATTTTATTCTATACATTCCCAAGAGATCCCCAAAATGTGAAGGTTATGATACTGTGAACAAAATAAATTTGTGGAAAATTGTGTTTTCTTGGGATACTCAAAACATTGGCAACATGGCCAAGCAGAAAGGTTAGTTTCCATGTGTGAGTGCAGCCCATAAGACATACAGTACTATAAAGGTACCTTTAGAATACATTCACACAAACTACAAAACAAACCTATAAATCCTGAAATGACTTTACTGTTTAAAGAAAGCTAGTGGATTTAGATATTTTAGTACAATAGTCGTATTTGTAGGTTTATATAGCCGTGTTTCTGTCGTGTATTGTTTCACTGAGCAGTTGCTAAGTGGAAATGCTTCAATGGCTAGTGCTTCAGTAAACAGAAATTCACTGAATACAGTAGTGTTTCAGTGACTAATACTTCAGTGAGCAATGCATCGATGATCGTGATGTTAAGTGTTTCTGTGATCAGTGTTGCCAAAAACAATGTATCAGTGAATACGTAATGCCCATTTGTCCAGTACTACAGCAAATTATATCAGTAAGCAGTACTTCAGTGAGCAGTACTACAGGCAGCAGTGCCTCAAAGAGTACTATTCTAGTAAAGTGTTTCAGTGAGTTGTGATTCAGTAAGCAATGTTTTCAATGAATAGGGCCTCAGTGGGCAGTACTTCAGTAACAGTGCTTCAGTAGTCAGTGGAGTCACGGTACTGATAGTTCATCAGTTAGAAGCGCATAGTGATTTAATAAATAGTGCTTCTGGTAGGGCTGCAATAAGAAGTGTTTCAATAAATTGTGGGCAGTACTGAACTGGTCATTAGACAACCGTGTCTGGGGTTAACCAGGGCGCCATAAATATATTATACAGCATACACAACCTTACTGAAACCTTCATTAGAGAACAAACTTCGAAAATATTTGCAAACAAAAAGTAATGTATGATATCCTCATGGCAGTAATTTATTTGCTGAATATCAAATAATGATAATGACACTAAATCAGGGTTACAGTAACAACTGAATCCGTCCTCAAAATCGCAGTTCCTCACATTATATAGGTTGTCTACACCTATCCCTTTTAATATCTAATTGTTGATGACTAGTGCATGTAAGAATAGGGAAAAAAATGCTTAGAAACCTTAGTTATTGAAGCGGAGTAATAAATCATTACACCTGGGAGGCTAGGACGAGTCATTCTGGGACGCAAATTACAGAATCAGTGCGAGTCGCCGTGACGACCAGTGCAACGCCGGCCGCTGCTAGCTCACAAACCACGTCAAAAACAACCAACGACGGTGAAAAACTCTTCCTGGAACACTTTGTCTACTGTCGGCTATTATCGTGGAGGCATTGGCGGCTCCTCTTTAGGCTGTCGAACGACAAGAGGTTAGTGGGTCGAATATCTCTTCATTGTCGTCGATTATTACCCGCTGATTCCTGGTCACAGTACACTTAAGAATAATTTGTTACTAATATGATCATTGATCAGCTTGCGATTTTCAATATTCATACGCTTATTGTTGTTCATACTAAAAATTATAACAGTGCATCAAAATTAAAAGGCAGTTTTTGACTCGCCAATATCTGCATGAAGAATAATTGAGCCATTTTATACTTAGCATGAGGCTATGCGCCGAGACACCCCTTTGCAGAGGTAAATGTTTACTGATACAGATATTTGAATATTACTTAGCATACACATCTCCCCACCCATTGTAAGGGGCACGTTTTCTCTTTATATTCTATTTCATCTTTTTATTATTTTTATTCAGCGGCGATTCAGTGCATCTAGAGCTCAGTACACAACACATTTTTCGTGTACCTCCTTCGCTTTAACTTTCCCGTATCCTTGTAAATCCTTGAAAATTAAAAGTCTGTCACTGTATATGCAAAATTCAAAAGTGAAATGAAACGTGAGAATCTTTTGAACATTCAGCATGAAGTCATGCACTAAAATACTGGTTAATCGTTTGGCTGAGTCTGTTGCATGGGTTCGAAGTCTCGGGTTCGCTTTTTATATTTTAATGTTTTTGTTTTTTATTCATCCCCATCTGGAAGTAAGTTAATGCATTTAGTCGGTACAGTTCTAATGCAGTACCCAAGTAAAACTGTGAGAAGCACTGCACGTCTCAAGGTACAAACAAAAATAATGTATAAGACACCTAGAGAGTTGAGACTCCCGGGAAACTTTTTTTGTTGGAATTCTGATAACTGGTGTCATAATTGCTTCATTATAAACATTGGAGGAAAATAAAGTAAAGCACGCTTGCCTCACAACTTTATCCTGGGTTCAATCCCCCGCCCCAGACAGATGATGAAGAGGATAAAAGTAAACATGTAAAAGAGAAGGGTGTCATCCAGTGTGACCTCACCAAATAGTATTTGGTAACTTAATGTTAGTAAATAAAAGAAGTAGTTTTTCGTCGACTCTCCTGTGAATAGGATATACTGTATATTTTTCCTTCCTGTTTCTATCTCTTTGAAAATCTTAACATAAGAAAAGTTATTTATCTTGGGTATAATATGTATATCCAGTGTGAACCCAGACCAGTTGTTATTACACTCACGCTGATCTGTTTATAACAAGCAATGGAACAGAAACTCAAGTGATAATTTTTCATTTGTTTTAATGTTTTCTGCTGTAGAATCTAAGATCTAGTGGATGGTACTTAATAAGTTGATAACCCGGCAGTTGAAGCTTGAGAACAAACAACAATAATAACAACAGCAGCAGTATAGGAGACGGAGGAGGGGAGGGGAGGCGAGGAAGAGTCAGGTACCACTGTCCCACATACTGTAGCTGCTAGTTTTCGCTTCCCCTTACCCCTACCCCCTTCCCTCCGTCCCTCCCATCAATTTTCCTTAATGGTTTATCCGAGCCCCCTTTCCTCCTCGCCTTACTCCTCTTCACCTTTCTACCTTCCCCCATATTTTAAAATCTACT